CCATGAATGAAACACATTACAAAGTCCACACACATCAACACATATACATTTCCTTTACAGAAGCTGAGAATGAAAGACATACTGTAAGTGTACATGTGACGAATAAATGGAGGAAATGAAAGGGGGTAAGTATTTCTGATTTACTTAGGAAAACAGAGTGGAAATAATCTGAACAAGAGGGTTTTCTGTGTTTAATGTGGAAAATACATTTGGCATGTGGTGAGGCTCATGTGCAGCATGTTTGGAAAACCTGGCAGGAAGAAAAATCCTTCTCTTTCTAGAAATCCTGAAAATGTCTGCATAACGTGGCCTGGTGATCATGTGACCACCCATGCTTCCTGGCTCCAAGTGAGAGGTGTACACCAACTCTTTCCAGACTCAAATGGAAAACTACTGCTGCAGCTAATGTATTTCCTCCACAACTTTTTCGGTCTCTGTCCTTCCTTTTATTCCCCTCCCCTCCTCCCTTATTCTTATTAGCCTGTGTCAGCATATTCCACAGACCCATCCCCATGTCTCTGCCTTTGGAACCTTTCATCTGGATGGAAATACTGAGGAGGGAGGGAAAAAAATGCTGTAGTTGGAATATGTGTCAGTTGGCCAAATAGGCTCCACATGCTTGGTGTAATGGCGCAGGATGTGGCAGACATAATCGACTCCCTCTTCATCTCTTTTTTTTTCATCTCCCCATCTCCCTCAGTAACAATCTTTCGCTCTTTATGGATCCCATTCCTTGTCTTTATTGTGCTCTATTTCCTGCTTCCCCCCGATGTCACGACAGGCAAATTAGACTTTAGTAACGTATTACGCCTTCTCCCTCCAGTCTTAAATCCGAAGTGTGCTGAGTGTGTGGCCATGTTGTAACTTAAGTTGCCGCTTTGGTGCTGCAGTGGGAGCCTGACTTTATTCCATGGCTTATTGCAGCAATAACGCAGACCAGCAGACTGAGGAACTCACACACACACACACACACACACACACACACACACACACACACACACACACACACACACACACACACACAATCACTCTTTTATTCATGTTAAGCTGAAGCCTCGGTTACATTATCAGTCAACAAAAGCCAGTATTAGGTATTAAGCTAATTTACTGGTACACACCAGTGTACTGAGGCTTTTAATGACTATGGAAACAGGAGTGGCTAACACAAATTCTGCTGTGTGTTGTGTAGCTTAAAGGATGTCTGGCTATCTCTTTTCTCATTGATTGACTGATTTATATAGGCACTCATGCTTGAAATATAATCTACTTCTCTGTCCGCAGTATAGAGATGCAGGGACTCGCCGAGTGTATCTTCCCATCTGCTGTGTGTGTGTGTCCTATTTTGCATTGCACATGTAAAGGTTCACTGGCTGCAACTCTGAGGTGAGGCAAAAATAAAAGACTAAGTACGCTTCTCTCGTTCTCCCCCTTTCTTTCCTCGCCCACCCTGACCAAGCTAAAGCTAACTTACAGCCACCCTCCCATCCCCTCTTGTCCCCTCTCACAGTGCTCCCTTGCTAGCCCATCCCTCATCCTCTTAGGGGAGCACGGGAGCATGCAGTGGAAATAACAGAGCCAATAAAGACACTGCCAGAATCCATCCACTCCCTGCACCTCACATAGTTGCTGAGGGAGAGAAAGAGTGTTGGAGAGGGAAATAAGGGATGGGAAAAAAGAGAGAAAAGTCCGTCTATATTCTCTATGGACGAAGGTGGTGGTGGAGGAGAGGAGGCAGTAGGCGTGGCCTTGGAAGAAGATGAATGAGGGAGAATGGAGAAGGAGGGCAGGATAGAATGAAGATGGAGAGACTTGAATAGCGAGATGGTGGATGTGTGAGGGAACATGTGCGCACACATATGGACCCCCATTCCCATAGTTCCTCTGGGTACCTGTGCTGGTCCAGAAGTACCCCCTACAGGTGCGATCCTTTCCAGCCCTGCAACACTTCAGACTTTTTTCTTTGCCAGCCACAGAACGCTCAAGAGTTCTCAGCTGTAATCAAAGGGGATTCGTTTTTCAGCTCATTTTTTATTATTGGGGTTAGGGTTAGGTTTAATTGAAAAGACCTCAAGACTTCATTTTGGAAGCTACGTCCAAAAATTGAACAGGTGCATTTAAACAAAGAAGGATGGCAGAGTTAAAGTTGAACAGCAGGTGAGTCGATTCTTAGAGTGCTGACAGAATAAAGCAAGGACTCGCGTCTCGTAAATCATGGAACATTTTCAGACTACCATACGATGCCGCTTGACTAAGTCATTGATCCTCCTTTTCACAGATGGTCCCCCGTTGAGAGCTGGAACTCGGCCAAACCTACCAACCTTGTACAATATGTGTAATTGTAATTGATCACAGCATCACATACGGTATATGCAAAAAACACACACACACACAGTCCAGTTGAACAGTCTAACCAGGCCATATTCAACATCCTCATGTTTCCTGTCATTTTGGTGAACAACAGCGCAGACTGATTTGAGATGAGGACAATTTCTTCGCAACCCCCGCCTACCCGAAGGCTCTGCATTTTTTACAAAGATATCTCAGTCTTCGATCCTTCACGGCAATCTTTTACTTTGTTTTATAGTTTTTTGTTTCCCTTTTTTATGATGAAGCATTTATGATCATGTCTCTCAGGGTTGTCATCCCAATTTAGTCCCACCAGGCGAGGATATGAATGGCTCATATGCATGTGAACTGAAGCATTTACATCAATTCTCATTGAAACAGTAGACGCATGCTGCGACGTGGCCTAATTTTCTTGTACGCAGAGAGGAGCTGTGAAGAATTGGAAGAGAAGACAAATCGGTTTCCCATGTGTAGCTCACAGGAGGCCTCTGAAACAGCTTCTATTCATGTATAATACAGAGACCTTCAAAATAATTGCTTCTTTCTTGTCAATCCTTTGTCTTCTTTATTCCTCTCATATACGCACAAACACTCATACCTATGAAGGAAGGGTCTAGTCATTATTATGTGCAATTTACTTCTCTTTTGGCAACTTTTGAACAGAGTGCTATAAAGTAGAAAAATTTGGCAAAGAGATTTATATCTGCTACTTAATCAACGACATTTATCTATGCTGACGAAGTGGATAAGGCAAACAGCTACACGTCAATTGCGATCAAATAGTGTATTTAAAGCTTAAAAACAAACTGTACGAGAGAAAATGTCTGTGTGAGAGGGCAGATATTCTTGTGCAATAGGTTTCCCTCTCCATATTTACATGGAGATGCATTCAATGGGCTGGAAAACTTGATGCATCATGTACTTTCATTTTATGGGATTGAACCCTTAATGTTCGGAGGCAAAGAGGACCTGTATAAAATGTGGATTTTTCTTACTGACAGAATATCCCATCAGATCACATGATCAAATCAGATGCAGGAAGGCAGGCAGTCCCTTGACAGGACACGTCACGGCCCTGACAGCCATGTTGTGTGCTTCCTGTAAGCTAATGTCTTTATTTAATATTGGAAACCCTACATTTATAAAGAACCATGGTCTCATACCTTTATCAATGGGTCTCTCAAACACACTTTTTTGATTTTGAAAATGCTATGGTTAATTTCATTTTGTAATCAGCCATGATGTAAGGATATTCTAGCAACACGGCAGCTAAACGCTAAAATCAACATTTTAGAATAATAGCACGCTCACATTGACCTGGTAATTTTTGTTTAATGGCAAAATCTATCCAAACATTGTTGCAACATTTCGCTAAAAACCAAATATGTCAAACACAATGGTGCTAGGGGGAAAGTCAGAGGATCACTTCATTAAAATCGATGCTTCAATAGGAAATGTTGACTTCTGGTATAACATTTTTGCCAATCCATCAACTTATCATGATGCAAAAAATAAACATTCAGGTGTACTGGACCTACTTCACATACTGTATATTCAATTAAATGTTTTTAAGGTTTTTTTCTCATTGCTATTCAATGGTATTTAAGTGTTGTCATTAATGGCAGCAGTGGGTACAAGATGTGTTAATGTTCCCATAATATTATTTGAGCCTTTATTTGCTTCCATATTATTCTGCCACTAGCACATGTGAAGAAACATGTAAAAACACTTGATGTCCCACATGTGGTGGCCACATTAGTTTTCACTGATGTTGATGGTTCAGAAAGGTCACGTCCGGGTCAACACGTAGTTCAAAGGTTTGCATTGCAGCTGCACAGGTCATTGATGGAGAAAGCACAGATACACAGAGAGGCTTTGCTTTGATTTTACCATTCATTAAGCCTCCTCGCTTTTCATGCCATTTAAATGTTGCTTCTTTTTCTAAAGCTAATGAGGATCGAAGTCAAAGATAATGGCTTGAAAGGGAAATTGACCTCTGAGCAAAGGACAAACATAAATTGAAGATGTGAGCACTTTTCAGTACCGATACAGCCATATCAGAGAAGGAGGCCCATATAAATCAAATTTCAACGTGATATTTATTTGCCTGCTGAACTATTTACTTACTGACAATAAAGGATGAATTTATGTGGCCATTAAGACGAGTGTTTTTAAATGGTCAGGGGAGGCAACCCAAGGCCACTTTATGGATTGAATGCGATAAAACCCAGTGCTAAAACAATATGGAAGCTGACGACCTCACCGTCAATCAAAGGTAAGAATGATAATCAAGTTCATTAATTTTAATGGCATAAATTCTTCTCAATAATGCACCAGCCGTTGCTGCCATTAACCATATTTCTTGTCTTAATACAGTGCCTTAGCCCAGACATGGTGGAAGTTTTCCTTTCCCCCTCTGGTATCGTGCGAGCCATGAATCAAACGATGAAGGGGGAGGGAGGGTGAGGAGGTGAGGCTGGTGGTGTAGAGGGTAAGGAGGGGTAGAGGCCTGGAAGATCTCTGTAGAAAGATTAGAGATGCCTTTAGGCTCTTTTTCCAGAACTGTGGACAAGGTGATGTCACTGCATGTTTCTCTGGGATCTCCCACAGAGAGAGGAGGGGAGAGAGAAAAGGGGGATGTTAAAAGAGACAGGAAGATATATACGCAAGGGGGGAGAGAGTTCGAGTTTAAGAGAAAAAAAAGTAAACCGAGAGGACGACATCAGAGAAAGCAAAGGGGGAGCAGAAGAGGGAGACATTTGGGGTTTGGATTGTGTAGCCGCGGAAGAGGGGAGGGGAAAAGTTGGACACGGACAATCTTGCAGGAACTTTTTTTCTTCTTTCCTTTCTCCGTGGAAGAAGCCTCAACACAAGTCAACGGTATAAAAGACACACTGGATTACAATTCAATTGCATCGACCCACGAGATTTCCCCGGATAGTTACGCGTCTATTTCTGGATTCATGTGGTCGCCCATTTGTGGATTAATCAATAGTTGAAGGTATGGTTTTGTGGACTTTTATGGACGTGTTAGCGATGCTGTTTACAAGTGATGTAGGTTTTAAAGAAACGTCGCAGTTTAATAAGTAACGTAGACAACAGTTTTTAAAGTGTCTGCAGTGGAACTTTATGCTAAAAACTTTTGCAGTAGTTTCATATTACAACAGCAGGCACGTTAACGGGAACGATATTATACAGCAGAAACAGAAACTCTCTGTAAAGTCAGTAGGCCTATTAGGCACCATAGTTACAATGTCCCTATACTTACCATAGTAGGCTAATGCTGAACAAAAACGTCGTGATTGGAGAACAAAATATAAGAATGATACACTTACTTTCTCCCAGTGGGGATCCTTAAATGTGTGCCTGCTGAGTAGCCCTGATTCTGACACATGGTAGAATATATTTATTGGATTTTGCAAAAATAACTTTTGAACCGCAACTAAAGCTGGTGGCAAAGGTGATGCTGATTTTCCTATCACATCTCAGCCAGACCTCCATTCAACACACTAACTAAGGGTTACTGTAAATCTGTGGCTTGCATCCAACCCCTGCGGCTCGGAAAAGCCTCTGACTAGCACTGTTTGGATCTGCAACATGCATATCACTCAGACTAAGTAATGGCCGAGCCTTACTCTGCTGTAGTTTGAGATCAGTGTCCACATTATTACTTTTTGCCTCCAACTGGGGGGAAAAAGGAAAGTGCTGAGGAGGAAGTTTGAATGCCACAAGCACATCTGTTTTCCTCATTACTCAGCCATCCCATGTTTGTTGGCTCCTGCATCCTGTCTTTGCACACATCTTGAAGGTTTTCTGAATCTTCGTACCAGAGAGCTGCATCTTTAGAGAAAATACGATTTATTTCTCTCTTGAGAGGTGTAAATTGCTTCAATTCTACCTCTTTACCTTTGGTAAACAACTCGTGTTTTTGAAGGGTCATTTACACAGAAACATAATCTAAAAAGCATGGAACCCTTAGTATCTTCAGGGAAACTCCCCCCTGCAGTTACTTGTTTACTCCTTCAATCCCTGGGGAATATTACACGCTGTAAAGTGTAAACATTACAAATTGGTGTCCTTGAACTTTACTACACATTAAGTGTTGCTCACTTAACCTGCTGCAGGCCACACAGTGTTTAGCTGTGGGTCATGCATCTTTTTCATTTACTGCTTCCAATTTTAGCTTGCCCTATGTGCCTGCAGCTAATTGTATCATCCACTTGGCTCTTTGCTTATTGAGGTCAGCAGTGATGTAAACATTAAGCAGGAATAGTCATCCTTCAGCAGGTCATCTGCCTGCTGAAGTCTGACTTAATCATAGCACAGGCTTGAGGGCGTCATGCCATTAGAGTAGGCGTTATTTTACATCATTGCTAATGTTCGTGGATCAAAAGTGTCCGTGGCAATGGAACTTTGAAGCAACCCTGAGAAAAGAGAGGTTTGCATGTATTCAACATTCATTTCATTTTTTTTTTAACAATGTGCAACTTAGCTGGTCTGTTTCTCATTTACAAATATTCAAGTTAAGGCCTTGAACAGCTCAGTAAGGAGGACTAGTAAAAACTTGCCTCAGTCGCCCTTGAGTGTGATGCAGCTTTGGATATTGCCCTCACCAGTTTGTGAGGTTTTATCACTCCCGGACGGTCAATGAATATCTGGATCAGTTATCAAAGCCTCAAGGCCTTTTTTAAGTTTCTATTATTCACTCCAAGTTCCCCGTTGTAACAGGCCTGCAATGAACTCTGAGGTTTGGCATCAACACATTTTAAGTTCCAGGAGCTAAGAGTGTAAATGTCTTTTTGTCCCAGATGACATTTAGAATTACAGAAAAGAGTAGCTTCTGACTGTCAAATAAATCCAACAGAACTCCAGACTACCTGAAAATTGGCAGCGTATTGACTGCTGAACAACATTTGTCTTGCCATGCTAGTTTCATAGTGGCTTTTCGGTCCACCATTGATCCAGACCAGATATTTCTTCAGCTATTTGAGCAATTCTGTAAAGACACTCATGGAGGATGAATCCTTATGAAGTTGGTCATCCCCCTTTTTTTTATGTAACCTCATAAGCAGCAAGTTCTGATTAATGCTTTGAAATATCTCAGCAGCTGCTTGCTGGATGAGTCTACCAAGTTTTTTTTTCTGTAGTGCCACCATGAGGTTAACATTTATGGTTTTGAGTCGAATGACTGAATAACTATCTGATTGATTGTCATGAAATCTGGACAAAATTACATTTTGTAATCAGGGTGATGCCTGAAAAATAAATCCCATTCCTTTCAGCATCATCTTTCTCTTAAAGGTCCCATGTCATGGCCATTTCTACTGATCATATTTCCATTTTTTAGGTATACTAGAATAGATTTAAACTGTGCAATTTTCCAAACTCACATTGGTTTCTCATACAGCATCTCTGTATAGTATGTGTATTCACTCTCTGTCCTAAACGGCTTGTTCGAGCTCCTGCCCCCCCCCTCCCAATGAGCCCACTTTGCTCTGATTGGTCAGCTCACCCACTCTGTTCTGATGAGTCCACCACCATTACAGTGGAACATCAGTGATTATGTTTTACAATGGCGTTGGCGAGAGAGCGAGACATCGTGAATGGACGCGGGAAGGGGCGGGTGCTGAGGGGGCTGCAGCACCCCCATCTCCACTTGATCATAGTCCACGATGAACACGGACTTGCACACGTACACGGGTACCTACATGCAAGTGCTTTTACATGCCGCATGATTAGAGCATGATGGCGACCTTCTGACAGGTCGAAGAGATACCATTTTGGTTGTATTCTGTACAACAACATGCAAATGTCAAAGAATATGGTGTGTAGAATCACTAAACAATAATAAGGCCTAGAATTAACAACACGGTACAGACATACAATTCAGGAACCAAGCATCCAGTTTACTTTTGTAGATCAAGTCAGCTGAGTGTAGTGCGAACAGATCTGTCACACATTGTGGGTGCATGCAGATATCCCAAGAGGGACCGCTCTGACCTTTCACTGACTGCAGTAGATGACTTAATTTTTCTTACACTCGCAGCCAGGTTGAAACCATTTATCTGCCTTAAGTACTACATTGTATACCCACAGAATGACTGTAGACTTCTATACTTCTTATGGCCACAGGGCTTTAGACAGACCAACAATTAAATCAGAGTTACGTTCTGTTTTATGGCTGCATTCCATTCAATGTTAAGTACACTTTCCTATACATCCTCTGCTGAGCTTTCCCTGGAGGATTCAATCAGGGTCGAGACCCCAAAGTCAGATCAGGGGCTTGTTTTCACTGCCCTGCACCTTAACCACTCTTGACTGTGTTTTCATGTGTAAGATAGAGCAGGGTAAATTGTAAAAAAAACCTTGTGAGTAAGTTGTCCATCCATCTTCTTGCAACAGAATGCTTAAAAGGACAGCTGGAAAGCCAGTGAACCCTAAAATATAACATGACTGACACATTTTTGCTAGGTTCTCGCATTTAAACAGATGGAAAGTAGTCTAAACAGTGGGCTGCTGGTTCTCTGTTATTTAATCATCCGTGTCTGGATGGCTAATAAGCAATTCTCTTGTCAGGCCATAGTCAGGACATGTTTCATTTAACTCTGTCAGAGTGTGTTTCTCTAAACAGGCTTGTGTTGGGGCTGTTGTTCCATCTGTAAGCAGTGGCAATGATGATGAAATGTGTGACAATAAAAATTGCTAAGCATTGAGCACAAATTACCTAGATTGTTATATACATGTAGCAGACTCGGTGCCTCTTTTGTCAGTGTATTCAAGCCATAATAAACTACTGGAACTGGTGGCTGTACTGGAAATGAACACTAGGCAATAGCTTTGGGCCGAGAACCAAAATGACCCCTAGAACTACTGAACAGTTCTGTATTGTTGGGGGGGAAAAAACGCTTAATGATGAGGCCTGTGTTGTGATTGTCTATGTTGGTCATCACTTCTGTCCGCCAGTGTTGTCTTCAGGCTTTTAGTGCTGGAAGACTTTCAAATCGGTCATTGTTTTCCTTCCTGTATTGACTTCGTACTCAGTGACCCGATCACTCGCATGCCTGCTTACCGGGCCCATGGCCAGCCCAATGGCCAAGCCCTGTGGCCTAACCCGATACTGCCTTTATCTGCTATAGCCAGCTGGGTGGCCCGTGAAGCTGCAGATGGAATTCAGAGAGTTAAGGAGAAAGAGAGACATCCATAGCAACACATATTAGGAAGCCTATTAAATTGGGTTGGATTATAGCCAGATAATAACAGCAATGAGCTGTAACTTTTCCCTCAGCTTGTATTCTCTGGACTGTGATGCATTATGTATTATGTACTGTGTGAACTTTTTGTATTATTGTAATCATGTGGCATGAAGCCTATAATAATGTCTGGAGCTTTAGACTGCTCAAAGCCGGCCGCTTTGATTAACCTTACGCCAATCCAACTGCAGTCGAAACTTTATTTTACATCTATGTTTCTTGCTGTTTAGTTTGCAGCTACTTTCACATAAAAATGTCCATGTGGTCAAAAGCTTTGCACTCAGATAAATGGTGCCATAGCTTTTGCAAAGACCTTACTTCTTCATTAAATGGTATGTTGTCCTTTTTTTAAATAGTATAAACAAAGAAAGCATCTTCACCTTGGGTCAGCAGCCCCCCAAAATAAATGCAGAATTGGCCATGTGGCGCACATTGAGTTCTCCTTAGTACTTCAGAACATAATTTAACACACTGTCCTCCACCATATTGTCTGTTAGCAGCAATCTGCCTGCAGTCAGGTCAAGCTAGATGGTATTCACACAGTGTCCTCTGCAAGGCAGGAGCACCACATTGTGCACCCCTAGGGGAGCGTGGGGGTCATTTCTCCTGGCAGACGGGACAGGTGTGTGTACAGAGACACAGTCTGCTTGCCTGCCTTCCTTGAGGGCCCTGCTGTACCTGTAAAGAATGCAGAGTTATGGGGTCCTCACAATATGCTGGGGGCAAGTCCAGGTCATGTGGGATGTGTTTATGTGAGTCGGAATCGGTGGTGCTGGTGTGTTTATGGGCTTGCATTCTTGTGTGTTATGTATAAGGGGTTATAATAAAGGAGAAGGATTGGGGCGGCTGAATATAATGATTATTTATACGTGGCACATATTTTAATCTGTGCCTGGGTTTGTGTGTGTGAGTATGTTTGTTGTTGAGCCACGTGGAAGCATCTGGTGACATGGTGCAACACAACCATGGCTCCAGAGGAATAGTCTCCAGATGTGTTTGTGTGTTTTGGCCCCACTGTGTGTTTGACTCAGAACCAACCAGACTGCATGTAAATCATTTTTACTTTCATGTGTGCATTTTGATCTGCCTTTGGTTTTTTTGGTACTTTTTTGCAGCAGCAGGTATACATTGTTTTTGACTTTTAGAATGTGTCTGTGTCCCATAAGTGCACTATCTCAGACATATTCACATGTGTGTGTAAGGGCTTGTGTGTAGCAGCTGCCCAGTCAAAGGCCAACCAGATGGACAGGGTAATGACTATGATCAGACTTTATAGAGTTACACTCCTTAATGAGGGACATTCTGGTTAATTCATATGCCACTAACAAAGCCTGCATCATACCACATAATCAACACATCAACTGCGACATCATAAATAAACATGAATATCTATTTAGGAGTCAAGCATAATGTGCAGCTGTCGGCTGAGTGAGCAGACTGGGTGGCGTTCTGACCAAATTTAGGAAGGATTCAACTTTTTTGACTTTCTCTTTTTCTATTTGTTTATCCATCAGCCGGTGGTTGAGGTGACGTGAGGTGTTTTCGGTGGAGTGAAACCATGTGGCTTCTCTGCTCCTCTCTGGCGCTGTTGGCACTCAGCTTTGGATCATGTGACACACTGATATCAGAGCAAGGTGAGTTTCACTTTCCCCACTGGAGTTTTAAAAAATGTCAACTGCACTAGTTAAACAAAGTGACATTCAGAACAAAGAAAATGTCTTTCTCTATGGCATAATAAATAGTTTGACGTATGCTTTTTTCTTTCTTTCTGAGATATATCTAGAAGATGGACACCCATCTCAATTCTGTCCTTTAAATATCAGGCCACAGCACAGCAGCCATTTAGCTTAGCCTAGCATGAAAACAACTAGCTTAGCTCTGTAACAAAACCTGCCTACTAGCTCCTTTCAAACTAGCTAAGTTAGCACTGATTGTAGAGGGTCCTTTGGATGACTGTCAATCTAGTGGAAGTCCCTTTGCCATTAAATAAATGACAGGACACCCCACATAAAACCACAACCTGGCATTTTTACACTTTTGTGTACTGATTTACCTGTTACATGTAACAGGTGCTGATGTCTTTTGTAAACTTCAAAAATAGGCTAAGCTAGCTGTTAGCTCTACACAAGGCTTTAACCTATGTTAAATAGCTGCCAGCTGTTACTTAATTACCATACACATATGAAGGCAGTATTAATGTGGCAAGACAACAAAATAACTTATTTCCTAAAATGTTGACATACAAAATATATTAAAATAAGATTCATGGTAGGCCTAAGACTAAGATGGACCATTATTCCACTCTTGATGTACTAACTAAATCAATACATTACATTTATAGCCACTGTGAAACGCTATCAAACTGCCTACCAAAGCTGAGTAAAAAGAAAGTTGAATAAAAAACCAAAAACAATTGCTTTTAAACAACTGCTTCACAGAACAATTATTGTATCTTCATTTGAATGCAAAAAAAGTCACAAAACCATTTTATCTGCTATAACTAAGACACATCTTCAATCTGGAGAAGTATGTTTGATCAAATGTCACCCATCTGAGTTTGATTACAGTGTCTGTCTGTGTGTATGTGCCTTATGTGTGTTTTGGGGCTCAATGCTACAATGAAAATGACCACTGATTTTATGTGCATATCCAGCTGGTAGCAGTTGGTGGCAGTGTGGTGAGGCTGTGACAAGAAGGCGTGTGTGTTTACCATGTGTGGCTGTGTTCCTCTTCATGAGACATCAATGATTCTGAGTTTCTGTGTATGTGAGTTTTTAGGATTTGAATGTCTGTGTGTGCATGCATTTCATTGCCAGCATGATTATTTGTGTTTTTTCACGTGTGATTGTCTGACAGACAAAAACAGACATCTTGGTCATCATGAGGCAGGGAGGTGAACAGAAACAAGTTTTACTGTTTTGTGTTTTATTTCTGTATAACTGTCAAACTCCCTCATCACACTGTCAGTGTGTTCTCAGGGGCACAGCTCTGTGATATCACTTGGGAGGTCGTGCAATCCCCCATAGCTCATGGAACTCTGAAGGGAGCTTTGTGTAGGAGGGGGTCCCTCTAGGGAGACCCTAGTCAGAGCTTTTCAGATGAGACTGAGTCAGCTTGCAGCGCCCCTGAGTCCCTCTCCCCCAGCGTTTGGAAAAAAGTGCTCTCTCAAGTGCAGCTTTAACACTTTGTCACTGCAACACACACACACACACACACACACACACACACACACACACACACACACACACACACACACACACACACACACACACACACACACCTGAATCTCTACTTACTGGTCATTTGCTGACATTACAGCTTGAAAGCAGGTTTAAGTAAAACTAGTGTTGAGCGTTGAGCTGGATGATTGCACTGCAGCTCTGCAGTGTATCGGCGAGAGAGACTAGTCCCCACAGTTAAATTAAATTGATTCCCTGCCTTTGGTAAAGTGTTGCTGATATGGGTTTTTTTGTGCACCACAGACCCTGCGCAGTCTGAAGTAATGGATTTGTGTATTGATTTGTTTTCACTCAGCTTCCTTCTGTGTGTCTGAGCTAAGTTGTATGTTTCCTGGTGCCAATGATTTGTGGTAGTAATAAGCTCATTTGCTCAAAATCAGAAGTCAGAAAGACAAGCAGCGAGCAGCAGAAAAACACATCCATCACAAAGCCTTAGTGGTAAGGCTTGTTGTTTAAGTTAGGTATAAATAATTAAATTGAATATGTTGTATTTGCTTTTACACTAAGAACTGATTAGCATCATACTTATAGTACACACTGTATGTTTTTATAATTTATGTACGAGTGGAATAAAAAGTGAGGTTGAATTCCATGGAAGGGTCTCCTTTCACTTTAACAGTCTACAGTAGTTAAACATTTAGCCTAATGCACAACATTACACACTAATGCCACATGCATGTAGCCTATGTCATTGGAAATGCGACAACACTGTACAGGGAACCAATCCACTGTCCTCGTTAGGAAGAGGCTTTAGCAAAATGTAGTAAATGCAGTTATGTCATTTCAGTTGGAATAGAATTTTAGGGAGGGACATCCAACAAAGGCTTGATGAATTACATTTGAGGTTTTCCACGAGGAGGACCCCTAGCCCTTACCTAGAGCAAAACTTGGACTTGCACATTCTTGTAAGTAAGGCAACAATCTTAATTATTTTCATTAAATAAACTGGTATCAAAGTGTGGTAAGTTCAGCCTTACTGCTGCTCTCATTATACTGCTACAATTGCTTGTTAAATAAAATAAAAACTAAAGGAAATTGTTTCCGATAATGTTTTTTTTAATAAACAATATAGGAACCAATAAAAAAATGTCTCTCTTTTAACTAATGCAAACAAAAACTCTTGAGGGCAATATTGCAGTCTTTTGTGGTGTGCTTATCGGGCAAGTTGACAAAAACGATATAATGTAAAGTCTTCCTTGCTTCAGGGTGGCTGCTTTCATGAATGAACATGCCCTGTAATGTAAAAAAAATGTAGTAAAAGTGTTATCATAACTTCTTTACATAAAGCATTATGAGCATACTATAACGTTAACACTTTATACTTTGGTTTAAGCTTGTATATTTGTTATTTTCTTACCAGAAGGTGATTAAGTATGGAACTTCCACCAAACTCTATAAGTCAGTAAAGGAGTGCTAAGTAGCATTTCAAGAAATATACCTAAATGACAAAAAATGCATGTAAGCAAAAAAGTGAATGTTTTCTATGATGTTTCACACAGATCACCAGACATACGGTGAAACGACACAATCTTCTTTTATAAGTGTACAGACCTCTGCATGTACTGTCTAACTCTATTGTTTTGGAAAATTCATAAAAGTGTGTGGCATGAGTCCAGTTTGTGTCTGTGTGAGCTTGGGCTAGTGATTTGAATGTGAGCCAGAGGCCTACAAAAGGGAAAAAGAGTGAACTCATGCCTCTTAAGTACAGCGTTTCAAGTCTTTCAAGTCAACTGTACGACAGTTTTATCTCTTGGAAAGAAAAACTGGAATGTTCTCTCTTGTTCGTCTCATTTGACTAAGAGGGCAAGTACAAAAACTCCCTCTCTCTCAATTCCTCCATCTTTTTCACGTCATACTCTTATTTAGATTTACCCCTCACTTAAAGCTCTCATAAGCTACATTGAATCATCATATTGATTCATTGACATCACCTAGCATGCCCCTCTCCTTTCCATACATTGCATGTGTTTCATAGCTCTGGGACATGGCAAACTCTGCCTCAGTGTCTGACTTTCTGCTGAGCAGCAGCCCAGTCCAATTATCTTGGAATGCCACATTGAAAAGCCTATTCAATAACCACCATACCCTCTCTTATTGCAAAGCAAACACTCTGACACTGTTAGCACACTTGTGACCTCTTCTCCCTAATGAAAGCGCTCTGCCAATTGTTTGCTGCTATACAGAAACAGTATTAAAATTCAGGGGCTGTTGCTTTCAGCCGACTGTGGCCAAAACAAGGAACTGGTAGATAAGGCCATTGATTCCTTATTCTTCTATTGTTTTACAATATCAAGAAAAATAGGGCAAGACTTGCAGCTTTACTTATTGAGCACATTTAATTACAAGCACAGCTCTAGACTACATAAAAAAAAAGGTCACACATTACATATATTAGCTAATGTGTTGGAGTGGTTGAGATTATACTATACTGTGTTTTCTGTCACATTACGTGACCCTTTTTGCTTAAGATCAAGTTGTATTGATGGGTTGGCAATAATCTTTCCCTTGTACACCCTCCAAGTTGAGTGCAGGTCTACAAACATCAAAATGTAGTGTTTAACTTCCCTTAACACCCAAAATGCCCTGATTATTTTTGATGTTTGGCAAGGTGGAAACTTGGGGGAACCCTCACATCAGTGTGCTGCCAATGTAGCATCATTACCTGCTTTGGCAAGAGTTAAACACAACCCCTCAAAGAGGAAGTGAACCCAGGCCAAGACCATCCAATCTCTTTAAGGCTACATGCAGCTCTTATACTGCTAATGAGCTTGTCAACAAGCAAATGCTTTCCTTTGATCACAGCTTGAGAGGAAATGGGGTTCAAGTTGCGCAGTCTGCCCTCTGCCAAACTGCCAATTGCCTGAAAACACACCAGTCCACCAAAATATCATCCATCCTCAGAGTTATGTAGAAATAACCTCTAGATCCCAACAGCGCCAGTAAGAGTGAACACAGCCACGGTTAAATGTTGTTGTTTATTTATAGGAGTGAGAGAAGGATAAACATCTGAATTGATTCATAATTAACCGTTGCTGCTTAATTATCAGTATGTTTCTATTAACAATGGATCATGTGTCAATGTATAATGTAAACAGGATCACTCTGAGGGACAAACCCAGAGAGAATGATCTCCCTGCTCCTCTCAGCTCTATGGAAACCTTGAGTGTCTTTCAGCTCATTGTTTTGGTTAATTAGCTCACGACTTTTGTTTTAATTTAATCTAAAATCTATTTTCAGCGCCTTCATTCTTACTGTAGAAGAGAGTTGCTAACAGTAAACAGAGTTCTGATAAGCTATAGCATTGTAGGCACCTTTCCTCTCTTCTGTGGCTTGACTTTTTCATTGTGCTGCCCGCTTGCCTTCAGCAAGGATTACTCCTGACAAAGCCTTCATCTTGATTGTGCGTGATGGAAATGGGGCAGTGATGAAAAACAAAACAGAAAAGAAGCAGCGAAAATAAAAGGGTAAGAAGAGAGGAAAGGTAGATCTTACCATTTCTTGACTTCAAGAAAATACACCGGGAGATCTGAAGAAAAGCTCTCGGTGTTAATGTGTATGTTTCCCTTTTTTTCAAAGGCAGCAGAGTCTTTGTGAGGCTGCAGTGAATACACTTTGTGCTGAGTCAGCAGATGTTTTAAGATGGACTAGTCAAGGTATAAATAAAGTGTGTGTGTGTGTGTGTGTGTGTGTGTGTGTGTGTGTGTGTGTGTGTGTGTGTGTGTGTGTGTGTGTGTGTGTGTGTGTGTGTGTGTGTGTGTGTGTGTGTGTGTGTGTGTGTGTGTGTGTGTGTGTGTGTGAGGGCTCAGAAGCCAGCTTGATACTTCCTGTACTCTCCCCTGTATCTGTTCAGGAGTCCCATTCAATTTCTTTGACTTCTCATCTCTAGTTTTATCCCAGAGAACAACAACAGCACTGCTTGACATCTCTTTTGCACACCTTGAGTGTACATGCAGACAGCAATAAGATGATAGCCCACTGTGAGGCAGGCAGGCTCTAATGCGCTTTGAAACACTCTTTGTGTTTTTAAGGCCTAGATGAGCAGAAGCTGCAGGGTGTCAATTGATGAACTTGATAAAAGGTGATGAAGCGCTGAATGTGATTTAATTCTTTCTTGAGCCGAGCCTCCGTGAAATTAAATTCCAAACTCTTAATTAAAGTCAGTTGGGTCTTATTATTTAAGCTATTATATTAGGCTCGTTCGCCTCATTTTTTATGTGACTCTCAGTCTGGATAAAGTCAAATTGGGGTTGGAAACACAGACGTTGCATGCTGCGAGGCAACTCTGCATGCAGTGCACTCATCAAAAATATATTCTTAACAACTCAATCCATTTAGCTAGGAGAGACGAAAACATTACTTCTGTTTGAAGTGCACCATTATACTTAATGGCTAATAGGGCAGTCAAATTGACTCATCCTCACCTGCTAGTTTCACTACAAAAACCAAAATAGGTAGGAATGTCCCGATCACCTTTTTTTGCTCCCGATCCGATTCCGATCATTGGATTTTGACAATTTGCCGATACCGATTTTTCCAATGCAATACATTAAGAAAAAAAGCATTGAAGTTGTCCCTTAAGGTTATTTTTTTATTTAAATTGGATATCCTATCCAACATGGATATAGCTTCTTTTTTTCACAGCAGCATTGGATCAGTTCAGTTGTGCAGCATTTGATCAAAACAAAATAAAGCTTATCAGTACTCTTACTTACTAGTTAGCTTACTGCTACAATTAGACACTGCGCCCTGCCCACTCTGTTGCCAGATTTGAGAGAAATAAGCAACCAGGTCTATGAAAACAAGCCCCAAAGAAGCAACACATACATGATGTTGTGTAATTTGAAACCAAAACTAAGGCCTCAGGATGACTTTAAGACTTGAACATGGTCATTTTTGTTTTGTAACATTGAATACAAAATAAAAAAAAGTATTTAAAAAATAAATAAATAATAAATCACGATCCCCGATTTTTTTCTCCCGATTCCGATCTTTTGAAAATCACGTGATCGGCTCCGATCCCCGATCACGTGATCAGATCGGGACATCTGTAAAAATAGGGTAGCAGGTGACAATGCAAGGAGATTGCCTAAAAGTTTCTTAATTGCTATTGTCGATATTGTAAATAATTTCCCCTAAATATCAAATATAGCCTGTTTTCTTTTTTTGAATCGGAAATGTTAGAAGACAGACGGTCATATTCTGTGATGCGGTGCAGTCATCCCGGGAAGGCAGATAGCAGCAATAGTTGCTTTTATTTTTCATTCAAACAATTAATGACCACCCAAAGCACAAATCCATAGTGACCTCCATGACCCAGTTCTTCCACTCTAACTTTTATGGTTTCGGAGAGGTGATTTAAAGAAAGGACACCAACCTTCACACTCAAGTGCACCTTAGATACAGAGGAAAGAGAGTCACTCTTTTTATGTTCATATAGTGTGATGGGGCAGCATTGAACGAGGTTAAATGGAAATACCTAACCTTCAACTTTAACAGAAAGCAGACATTAGTGATTTAAAATATTACTGACAGCAAAACAGTTTTATTTTTTGGCTAATGCAAACCACCACCTGCGTTCACATTCTCTGCAGTTAGAATAATATAAAAAAACTGCCCTGTAGAATGTCTTGCTCGCGGCTTTGGCCCCAAAGAGATCAATTAACTGTGGTCAGAGTGATTCACAGCGTCCATGTCCACCTGAACAGCCCTGTTTTTTCTACACATATCTCTGTGCTGAGGCAGGCCGCTCTGACAGGCAACAGTTTTCTCAGTAACCTCCCCTGACAGGGTGAGAACACATCCATCAAACGGATGCTACCGCGACAGACAAGCTCGGTGCAAGACAACCTGTCAGCCGGACTGTGTTCCTCTCTGCTTTGCCCTCATTTCATCTCGCTCTCTGCGTTTTACACCCCCACCAACTCCCCTCTACTACTTTCTTCTGGATCAATATTTCTGTTGCTCTCAAATGTATCTAAAAAGTTGTCCGTTCTCTCGCACAAACTCAATCTCACACGGCAGTAAGAATAAAAGGTTGTATTTAAATGAACTCCCCGAAAGACTGATGTGCTCTTTAACATTTTGTGAATGCATAAAGTGGACCTATCATGTTATATTTGAATAATATAGTGTAGGACCATACCTATATAAGGCATATTTATACTTTTTATTTTTCAAAATACCAAACAGATCATGCTTTTTAGCCATTCCTCATTTCGCTCAATTTAACACTATCTTTGCATGGGCTGATTCTGTGAGAACAGCACCATCTACAGGCCTGGCATATGTACTACAGCGTCTCCAGCGCTTTCCAACGGCAATGTCCGTGGCTGTCTCCTCCTGATTGGTCGAGTTGGCCCAATAGCTGTAGCGCCACTTCTGTGACGTCATAGAAGTGTTCAAATCTGGATCAGTCTGTATCAGATCCGTTGCAGCCCCTTTTTATGAGATTTGGGTATGGAGGAAAATAGAGAGGGTTGTGTTTTCTGACACTTGGTGAGTTCCCTGGAACACCGGGGACACCTATTCATGTATAAAAGACGTACACAAGTGCGTTTAGCATGATGGGTCACCTTTAAACAGTGAATCAGGAGTCCGTTATTTGTGGGGAAATGTACATTCTTACAGCAAGGTGGATAGTGCATAATTAGTATAGTCAACATACAGTATATTATATATACATTCAGAGGAAAGCCCATGTTAATAAAAAAATAAAAACATACTTAGTAAGACATTTTGTTAAATTGAGCACGATTTGAAGTACATTATCTTACAATTCCCGCTACAATTTACTCTTGACAGTTTATGTTTTATTTCTGTGTTGTCTATTTGTCTCCACAGATGAACAATGCCCCTCCGTACAAGTGGAAGAGTGGAAGTTTCCTCAGACGACCAGGCAGAATATCACAGGTGAAAAGACGAGTCCAAATAGACACATATCTTTCTCTGAGTTGTATTTACGTTGGTGCTGATAAATGTAATTTGTTGTCAGGTTTCAATCTGGTGAGGCGCTTCTCCCTGCTCAAGAATAAAGATGTCAAAAGGATCCGCAACCCTCGAGGACCCACCATCCTTCGCCTGGGAAAGACTGCACTCCTCCAACCTACTGAGTGAGTCTGCATTACAACCTACAGACAAAGACATCTCACACCAACATGTTGTGTACCGCTTAAGGTGGTGGAGAATATATTACAGGGAGTGAAATAAAGTGAATATCTGCTGGATTTTTCAGCTTGCTACAGGGCAGCGTCAACAGGCTCTTTCTTTTCAAGTCTGAACAAAGAGAAAAGGCAGAGAGTGTTCGGCTTAGCAGACTCTGAACTCTCACTCAACATGTCAGCGCTGTCCAATGGCTGATGTGTAAAAAGCAGATTCTTGGCAAACCATGCAGCAGAGGTCATTCTCTGATAGCTTTTCCAGAAACACCACTTCATTTTCTTCACCACTGACACTGGCTTGTAAAGCTCCACTCTAACAGTCTTTTAGTTTTCCACTTACTGTAACTACTGTTCACATGAAAATGTCTTCTTTCGTGCTTGAGCGTAAACTATAGGATGCCCCAATTAGAAGCCATGATGCTATTAAAGAAATAAAAAGTTACAAGCCTATGATTTTAATAGCGGTAGGATTTGTTCTAAACTTGTTTCTGGGCGAAGAGACCTGCTGCGGCCGTAAAATCCGGCAGAGCACGACTTCCTTGCAGCTTGACATGGTGCAATTATGCTTTCCTGGGTTTTCAAGTTGTTATTACACAGCAGTTGGGTGTAAATTGTGTTTGGAATTGCGTGACAAGTGGTTATTAGGGTTATTTGCTGTCTGTATTTCAGTTTTTCCTTTTTCAGCTCTCGCAAATTATTGACAGATTTTAGACGGAGAAGCTTCTTTCTACCCACAAATAAAGCCGTTTTTGCCGATTGGGTCAGCCCAGAGTATTTTATCACTCTGTCCAGCACAGTGAGCTCCACTTGCTTGAAGAGCCGATATAAATCTGTCAACAAAACACTCTTTTTTTCGGTAGAGACATTGTGTTCTAAAAGTGTCACATATATTGTTTGTCACAGGCTTTGAGACAACTTGTCCTTAGGAAAAGACGTGGGGAACACAAACAACTGTCACTTCTCAGGAAATCAGCATCTTTAGAGCCATAGAGGAGAATACAAGACGTTTTTTGTTTTGCCTCTAACCATACAGAGAGAGGACAGGAACACCATTCTCTGGTTTGGGAGTAGGCTACTGTGCAGCGTTTACTGAAATTAGGATTCCATCGAGAGATCTGCTGTCAGCCCTCTCTGTAAAGAATGATACCTGGGTGACTTCTCTTTAACTCAGATGGAGAATAATCAATGTTAGCACATCAGCAATGCCTGTCGGCTGCCTTCAATTGTGCTTCTCATTATACGTAGAACTCGCTGTCTCTTACAGTATATGCGTTTCTCAAAATGACTAAAGCGTATCAGGGGAGATTTCTCCTCAAGGAAAAGCAGAGAGGACTATTAGTCCTCATCAGCTAGTATTAATATTCCCTTTCTTTCTTTATTTGCTTTTTTAAACTTTGACTTCTCAAATGGCTCTTTTCATGGAACGGTTTCACACTTTTAGAAAAGAAGAGTGGAGGCGGTGAACAGACGCGAGATTGAGAGATGCAGCGAGGGAAGAAGAGGGTTAAAGGTTTAAATCCAAGCAATAAGTGAATGCATCAGAACAAACCCTCAGGCTTGTTCCATGCCTTTCTTCTCTCAGTGATAATATGAGTGAGTGTGTGCTCTTCTTTTCAAATGTCTCTTTTGTGTGCAGATGCAGCGCCTCATATGATATTTCCCCCCTTTTTTCAGCCCCAGAGTATACTGTATATATTTCTGAAGCTGTACAGTACAGTATAAAAACATGGCTCCCATCCACCACTGACTCCCTATTACTCAAGCAGCTCTTTAATTCATCGTCACTGAGTTTGACTGAAGTGCGAGGCGGGTGTATAGTAATTGGAAAGCAGCGTTTTGCTTTGTATCAGAAGCTAATCCATTCAGCTAATCCAAGCTAACATAGATGAGTGACAGGCCGATGAAGCTACTCGTCTCTCGCTTTCTTTCAGCATTTTTCGCTGAGAGTGAAATGGGCACCAGTCACAGCTGGTCATATGAATTTTAATCTTAGCAAAATGTGACTTGATTGCTTTGGGCTTGTTGCTTTTTATGCAGCTACAGTGAGTAAGAGAGAGGGCCGGCATTTCTGTGATATTATGGCTCGAGGCCAAGATGTTTATGACAGAGTTCAAATGCAGTTGATAAATGATCACATAGCAAATATGGCACAATTTATTTACACTTTAAGCTTATGACTGCTGTTCTTGTGAAGGAGTAGCCTAATAACCACTTCTGTAATTGTAATTTGTATTGAAAGCTCAACCCAAATATAACAGAGACGGCAAAGGTAAGAGTACGGGTTCTCTTACCTAATCTCTTTGACCATGGAAGAATCATGGGGTATAAATAAAATATAGTAATTGTGATCTTGTTTTTATAAAGTACATGCTGAAGGCAGATTAGCGAAATTAGTCAATATGGAGACATCAGCAGAAGGTGGATAATTCTTAGGCTGCATCTCAGGTCGATTAAATGGAATCCTTGCGTCCCTCACTTGCGTCGTTTCCCTGCGTCTAGTCCCTCCCACCAGGGAAGCATGGAGGGACGCAAGGAAACCACGAGAAGCAGGGAAATGAGTTGTCAATGGGACGTCCTTTCCTCCGGAGTGTCACGTGAAGCGACGTCCGTTTGTGATGACGCCGCACAGCTGTTCGTCTGGCACCCCCGCCTCTGTTAGTACACATTTACTGACATATTCATTTGTATCATCTGTTGTAGACCCAAATAAATACAATAAAATAAGAACTCATTCTCAAAAAAGATAAACGCCATTCTTAAAATGTATAAACGAAAAAAGCGATCATGAAAATGAAAATGTTAAAATGATTTTTGACCACTTTGTTGTTCAGATATATCACATATTTGTGACTAAATGATACATTAATTTAAACAAAACACAGTATAGACTGAGGAGTTACTCTCGTGAGGTTCATTTATTTTCTTCACTCCGCTGGGAAACTGCTCTCATGTCAAGAAGCATCAGATCAGTGCATGCACTGCATCGTCCAATCAGTGAGCGATACACAGTAAGGGGGCGGGGCGAGTGTCTGAGGATTTCATCGGAGGATGGTCTGGTGGTTTCTCGATTATAGCTCCTCGATCCTCGGTCCTCCGGCAGAAATAAGCGCCATGGGACGCTACTCAAGATGGCGCAGACAAATTAACTTCCGGTGATACCGAGGACAGGGGAGCGAGGAAATGAAAATAATCGACCTGAGGTGCAGCCTTAGTCTACATTACAACATTGATTGTGCCCAGGAGATGAACCCTAATGAATTTTAGCGTTTCCCTGTTTTTTTTCCGCTTTGTGTTTAGCTATTTAGCTAATTCTAGCATGCTAACATGCTTAACAAAGATGGTAAACATTTTACCTGCCAAGCATTAAACAATGATATTTGTAACCAAATATGTTTATAATATACATCATCCAGATGTTCACATGTACGGAAGAGGATTAGGGCCACATTATTATTTTTTTTGGGAGGATTTGAAAAAATAAGGTTTTTTTTTTATTCTGAGAAAAAAGTCTGACTTTAATCTCAGAATTCTGACTTTTTTCTCAGAATTATGACTTTTTTCTCAGAACAAAAAAAAAAAGAATTAAACTCAGAATTCTGAGATTAAAGTCAGAATTCTGACTTTTTTCTCCCAATTTTTTTTATATTTTTTGTTCTGAGGAAAAAGTCAGAATTCTGAGATTAAAGTCAGA